ATAAAATAAATAAATAAAATAATGAAATAAAATAAAATAAAATAAAATAAATAAGGTGATTAAAATAGATGAAATAAATACTCCATCTTAGCTTAAATTTATTTCCATTTTATTTTCATTTTTTATTTTCACTTTGCTGCTGCAGCAGCTGCTGCTTACATAGAAAAAAGCGTTTCTGTAATCCTTTTTTTCTCTTTTCTCCGTTTTTAATCTCAAATTTAATTAAATTTAATTTTTAAATTAAATTCCGTTTTAATTCTACTTTAATTCCATTTTAATTCTATTTTACTTCCATTTTATTTCCATTTTATTTCCATTTTAAAATATGTTTTTATTCAAACTTTTATTTTTATTTTGCTGCTGCAGCAGCTGCAGCTGTTTGTTTCTCACAAGTTGTTATTAATTTTCTCTTTTTTCTCTCCTTTTAATCTCCGATTTAATTCTAATTTATTTTTAATTCCATTTAAATTCTTTTTTATTTATTTTATTTCTATTTTAAATTACTTTTTATTTTTATTTTATTTTATTTTATTTTTATTTTGCTGCTGCAGCAGCTGCAGCTGTTTACTCTTCGAATTTTAATTCATTTTCTCTCCTTTTTTTCTCCTTTTAATCCCCGATTTAATTCTAATTTATTTCTAACCTCAATTCCATTTTAATTCTACTTTAATTCTATTTTATTTTATTTTATTTTTATTTTATTTTTATTTTATTTTATTTTATTTTATTTTATTTATTTTTATTTTGCTGCTGCAGCAGCTGCAGCTGTTCACTTCTCACGAGGCGCTGCTGCTGCCTTACGAAGAGGCGCTGACGCGAAATGTGAATTTGGGAAAAAAAGTAAAACTTGAAACTTTTAATTAATTAAATTAAATTAATTTAATTTAATTAATTTAATTTAATTTAATTTAATTCAATTAACTTAATTTAATTTAATTCAATTTAATTCAATTTAATTCAATTTAATTCAATTTATTTCAGTTTAATTTACTTTGATCTTTTTTTCTTTATTTCCTTTGTTGTTTTATTTGGCTTCAAAAATGAAAACTTTTGATTTTAATTTGATTGAATTTAATTTAGTTTCTTTTTTATTTCTTTTTGGTTTTATTTCTCTTTTTATTTCTCTTTTTATTTCAGTCTTTTGGTTCTTTTTTTATCCTTTTTATTCTCTCTTCATTCTTTTATTCTCATATTTATTTATTTTATATCTCTCTTTCTCTTTTCGGTTTCATGTTAGTCCATTTTTGGTCTCTCTTCGCCATTTTTTGCCTCTCTTGTATCCCTTCTTTATTTCTTCATCTCCTTTTTGTCTTCTTTTTTATTTCTTTTTTATTTCTTTTTTAAATTGTCCTATCCCTATTTTTTCGCGGCCCTCAGGGGCCCCCTTGGGGGCCCCTGGGGGCCCCAGGGGGCCCCTGGGGGCCCCAGGGGGCCCCCGGGGGCCCCTGGGGGCCCCTTGGAGTTGTCTCTGTGCCATTTACAAAAGCGGTTAAAAAGAATATTCAAAAAAGTCCCAAAATCTGCCAAATGCGCATGCAGGGCCCCCCCTACCTAAAACCCTAAACCCTAAACCCTAAACCCTAAACCCTAAACCCTAGGCCTCTCTGGGCGTTTTCAGGGTTTCCGCCGCCTCGGCTGCAGCGGCCATTTCCTCTGGCTGGGAGACAGAACTCGAAAGCCCGAATACGCCCACGCAGCATTCCTCAGGCAAGGCCACTTCCTAGCTAGCTAGCTAGCTAGCTAGCTAGCTAGCTAGCTAGCTAGCTAGCTGGCTAGCTAGATAGATAGGTAGCTGGCTGCCTAGCTGACTAGCTGACTAGCTAGCTAGCTAGCTAGCTAGCTGGCTAAGTAGCCAGCTACATGACTTCTCAGCTAGCTAGCTAGCTAGCTAGGTAGGTAGCTAGATGACTGGCTAGCTGGGTAACTTGCTAACTAGCTAACTAGCTGCGTTTATGACTGGCTAGCTGGCTAGCTAGCTAGCTAGCTAGCTAGCTAGCTAGCTAGCCATAGTTGTTTCTTGGGATCCTTTTCTGTTTGCTTCATTCTTTTTGTCTCAAATCACTTTAACAACTTTCTGAATTACATTTATCCTTCCACTAAATCCACTTTGAATAATTTTGGAAGTATTATTAAAAGTTTTTTGTTATTTAAAATTGATTTTGTTTCACTTTTGTTTCATCAGGGATCTTGAAAATCCAGTTGGAGTTAAAATTGGCCCTTCAGCTTCTCCCGAAGAAGTTTTTTCTCTTTGTCGGATTTTAAACTCTTCAAAAACTCCCGGAAAACTTTCCCTCATTTTGAGGTAACTCTCAGGTGTACAGACACCCCACTGCCTCTCAGGTGTACAGACACCCCACTGCCTCTCAGGTGTACAGACACCCCACTGCCTCTCAGGTGTACAGACACCTCAGTTCTACTCAGGTGTACAGACACCCCACTGCCTCTCAGGTGTACAGACACCCCACTGCCTCTCAGGTGTACAGACACCCCACTGCCTCTC